TTGAGGACAACTCACTTTTGTCATATTAATGTGTTGAGGGCCGGACCATTAACTGTCATCTGAAGTCTGGTGCAGTTTGGACCATTTTCCATTGAGTTATGACAACATTGTGTTTCATGGCGAGGGATCTGTCACCATGGCAACGGCATATGATGACATCCCATAATTGGCGTAGAGCTGTTCAGGGCTAGGGTTAAGGACAAAGGAGCCTCATTCACTTTACATTGGGGTTGTTTGCGTGGTGCAGACACGTAAATGTAGCAAAGTTCGTGACTCCACCACGCACTGCGGTGTTAAGGAGTCGTGGTGGAGTCACGCATTCTGGTGAGACCAGGTTGGTCTTGCCACATGGCCTTCCCTTGCATAATCTCAAATATTTTTTATTTGTATTTAAGCTACCAACGTGTAACAGAACCATGTCTTGTTTGTTGTTCTCTGACACAAAACATCATGTTGAATCAGTCAATAACAAGATCATTGCCATTGGCATGATGACTTCTGGTTTGGAACACAAAGTTCTGTAAGTAAGTTTCACTTCTTTCGGCTGCTAAACCTTAACTTGTTTTTCACTTATCATCTTGTGTAATCTTTATCTTGTGTTATTTCAAGCTTTTAATTCAGATTGACATGTATGGTATGGGTGTTAGTGTCCCAACAATTCTGTATCTTGTGTAAGTGTATCTGATTATTGCAACACAGCAGCTGCAAGAGAACTATCGATTTTTAGCCGTGTGATTCCATGGATTGTTTATTTTGTTATAACAACGGTCAAATGTTTCTCAGCAGAAAGTTAACCATCCAGTTCAGCAGTTGATATGGGAGCACCAAAAACTGAAGTTCAGGAAAGAGCCAACGCAAAATACTTCTCCGCTCATGTCTTCTGCTTTAATTCCCCACAGCTTCCAATAAATAGTTTAAAAAGTTGTTTAGAATGAGTTTGATGCTTTAAACCAAAGTGTTAATGACTGAAAACCCTGGTTAACATTCAGTCATGTGATTTTTTTTAAAAAACAAACAGTTATCAGAATCAGAATCAGAATATAATTATCATACCAGTATATGCACTTGGCTACCAAAACATGAATAGAGTGTGGTTAAAGTATGTGTGTGATGTCATGTCAATAACAACAGAGTGAAAAGGGTCAGGGTTGGGACAAATGTAATTTCCCCTTGTGGATTTATAAAGTATTTCTTAAATCTTTAGTCTTAATCCTAAACAATTGAAAACTCTTTGCTAAGGAAAGGTAGGGAAAGCTTGTGTTCAAATATTCAAAAAGGTCAAGGAGAAAAATGAGCCATCACAATACTGCAGATAGCTGCATGTCCAAAGAAAGTTGCCATTGAACAAAAAGTAAATAAATAATTAAATTACGATGGTTTGTGTAGTTATAGTACTCAGATCCTTGACTTACTGTGATTAAAAGTATCAAACATCAATGCAAAGATACTTTTTTTAATGAGTAATATGAGCAATTATTTCCTGTGTTCAAAATCCTACTTAAGTAAAAGTACAGGAGTCTTCATAAAGTATCATATGCTGTCTTGTACCTTGGTGGTACTACAGAATATGTGTTGTGTTTCTACTTGAATCTCTTTTTATATCCAAATCTTCTATGTACATAAATGTTTTTTTCTGTCTTTGTGAAGAAGTTTGGTCCAAAACCTGTTTGTTTTTGTGTGCTGTATGCAAACATAAAAAGGGGAAACTAACATCACCCTTTTCAAAGTTAGATCTAAACATCAGAGCTAGAGATGCTATGAGATACAAGACCACAGAGATGTGATTAGCTATGATATTGTGATACAATCATGGCGCATCTGCCCCTGAGGTGTGAAAGCATTTAAAGACAATGGTGACCTGATACAGTATCTACTACAGCTGTCGAATGTGTTTGAATGGACTTCTAAGAACTCAGTTTGATTATTTTTCATTATTAACTTCTAGATGATGACCACAGTGTTATCCAATCTTGTTTATAGTGCTTTATTGAACAGGGAATGGGGGCCAAGATTGTATCAAGAGACTTTAAGCCCCCTCACTGTCCCTGTTGATCCAAAGTGGCGGGACTGCAGGGCCCATTATCTAACAAACATGATAAGCTCCACTGTGCAAGTCACCACAGTAGCTGATTGGTTGGGATATTTCATTTCATTTTTATTTGTCCCGCTCATGGTACGCATAGCCAAATGTTCAATAATTGCCAACAAAACATGTCTCTACACACCATTGAGCGAAAAGGAGCAGGGAGAAGAATAAAATCTTATATGACCTGCCCCTTTCTAAAAAAAACAAAAAAATAAATACAAATAGATGGTCTGCCCTTCATAATAAAAAAAAATGTTCACAGCCACACATAAGAGTACACCCGCATCTGAGTCCTACTGGAGAAGAAGGTGGAAAGCGGCGCCTAATAATAATAATAATAATAATAATAACAATAACAATAACAATAACAATAATAATTAAAGCTGCAAGCAGCGTTGAGCGGGTCGTGCTGTCCGCACGTCGACGTGTGTGTCTAGGTGTCTCAAGGACTCGGCCGTTGGCAAACGTGGGAAGTTTCAGGCCGATCAGACAACGTACATGGGAGTTACAGCAGTATCATAAACATTGTGTTTGATGGCGAGTGATCTGTCGCCATGGCAACGGAATTTGATGACACCCCATAATACGCCTAGATGTGTTGAGGGCTGCATCGTTATCAAACCTGTGAAGTTTTGGGCTGTTTGGAGCATGTTAACTGGAGTTATGAGAAAACCGTGTTTCACGGCGACCATTTTGTTACCATAGCAACGACATTTGACGAAATCTCAAAACTGACACATATATGTGTCGAGGGCTTGACGGTTAGCACACATGGGAAATTTGAACACTTTTTTACCATTTGCACAGGAGTTATAGCAATATCGTGCTTAACGGCGAGGGATGCGTTGCCATGGCAACAGCTTTTGAGGAAAACTCACTATTGTCATATTGAGGTGTTGAGGGCCGGACCATTAACTGTCATCTGAAGTCTGGTGCAGTTTGGACCATTTTCCATCGAGTTATGACAACACTGTGTTTCATGGCGAGGGATCTGTCACCATGGCAACGGCATATGATGACATCCCATAATTGGCGTAGAGCTGTTCAGGGCCGGACCATTAGTCATCATCTGAAGTCTGGTGCCGGTGATATAAAAGTGAAGATTGGGGGACGATGGGACCGTGTCCATTGGAGTTACAGCGACACCGTGTTTTATGGTGAGGGATGCGTTGCCATGGAAACGGCATATGATGACATCCCATAATTGGCGTAGAGCTGTTGAGGGCCGGACCATTAGCCATCATCTGAAGTGTGGTGCAGTTTGGACCATTTTCCATTGACTTAAGACAACATTGTGTTTTATGGCGAGGGATGCGTTGCCATGGAAACGGCATACGGTGAGATTTCACGTAGAGCTGTTGAGGCATGGACCGGTGATATAAAAGTGAAGATTGGGGGACGATGGGACCGTGTCCATTGGAGTTACAGCGACACCGTGTTTTATGGCGAGGGATTCGTTGCCATGGTAACGCCATATTAAGTAACATCAAATTTGACGTAGAGCTGTTCAGGGCCGCAGTGTTGACCATCATGTGAAGTTTGGTGGCGTTCTGAGTATGTCAGTTGGCGTTATGACATCATCGTGTTCCATGGCGAGGGATGGCCGAGCATCGAGCGAACGCGAACTTTGACGCCAAATCACGGCTACGCCGTGCGAAAGAAAAAGACTTCCGTGATAACTTTGAATTGCCCATGTCTCGAGACGCTACCCGACGAATTTCGAGTCGTACGGATAAAGTCCCTGGGAGAAGATAGATTTCGTGCGGAGGACGAAAAACGCGATAAATCGCGTTTTTCCGACGCCAAATTCAAAATGGCCGGCTTCCTGTACGTTATTTTATACCCCTCCAAGAGGCTTTTTGGTTTGTCTCCGCACCCTAGATATGCGTCACATGGGCGCGAAGCGCCCATGTGACTAGGTTCGCGTGGGCTACCTACTGTCATGATTTAGGCCACTTTTAATGGGCTTTTACCCGTCTTTTTCCCTGTTTTTAGTGGGTTTTGCATGGTTATCGCTCGCTTCGCGAGCGACTAAATTGATCGTAACGATATTAATTATGCGAGTTGCACTCACGTGGGCTAAGCCCACGTGACTGGGCTCGCGCGGACTATCTGCCGTTACTATTTCCGAACCTTTTCTGTGTTTTGCCGGTCGTTTTCCCTGTTTTTATGTGTTTTTCGCAGGTTTATCGGTCGCTGCGCGACCGATTTCAATAGGGTCTTCGCCGACCTATGGTCTCAGACCCTAATAAAACCAGCCCTACAAATAAAAAAGATGTCTATTATTATTATTATTATTATTAACGATAATGATTAAAATAATTATGGATTTTTTTGTAGGAGTGTTTTTATTATTATTTATTTATTATTATTATTATTATTATTATTATTATTATTATTATTATCATTATCATTATTATTATTATTATTATTATTATAATATTTATGCACTTTTATACATAAATGATAACTAAATAATAATACAATAATTATAAAGTATTAATAGTTAACTAATAATAATAATAATAATAATAATAATAATAATGTATATATAATAAAACCACTACAACTTATAGAAATAATACAACAATATATTTATATTAACACTAATAATAATAATAATAATAATAATAATAATAATAATAATAATAATAATAATAATAATAATAATAATAATAAAACCAGCCCTTCAAATAAAAAATAAAAAAGATGTCCTTTATTATTATTATTATTATTATTATTATTAGTGTTAATAAACAGTCGTAGTAGCTGTAGTATTAGTATTAATATCTCATTTCTAACGTTCACCCCTGGAAGCAGTTACAGTTAAGGGGAAAGTGAAAGTGAAAGTGCTGGAGGATGAGGTGAGGGAAAACCCAACTCCTTTCTCTCCTCTATAAAAAATACAGTCAGCTGCAGACTGAGAAAAAGGCTCGGCCCTGAGGAGGAACGTGATTCACTTCAATGTCACAGCGCGGAGGCACAACCTGTGCAAACTCATTGAAACTGGAGATGAATAAATTCAAGGCATTCGTTGTGAAGAAAAAACAGAGAGAAAGCACGCAGCCTTTAATAGAGGATAACAACGACATACAAGATGGTAAGACTCTTTTTGGATCATGAGTTTGCACAAGTGATCTTCTTTTTATATGTAAACTATAGACTATAAATAACATCTTCTACTATTGTCTGTCTTGGTAGTATATTTGTTTTGCTACAGCTTGAAAAAAAGGCCATGTTGATTTAGTATTATTTTAAGTAATATTTTCTTATGTGTGACAACTGAAAACGGAGTTATGAAGTGCTAAGTTGTGTCATCAAACGACAGATGACAAAGAAAGTACAGAAAATAGAAATGCCACAAAAAAAGAAAGAAAACTGTGACTTTGAACTCAATGACAAAAGGTTCAAGGTTCAAGGCTTTTATTGGTCATACGAACAAAGCTACAGTGTAGTTATGACCAGGGGCGTCGCCTGGACCTGAAAACATTCGGGGCTTAGCCCACAGTGGCGGCGGCACTACAGTGGCATTTTTTACTGCAACACTCCCCACACGCACACACACAGTACACCCGCGACTGTTACAATGAAGGCTCGATAATCAGCTCATGGCATATAGGCAGGGGTAAAGTGGTATTTTTTATGAGTGGGGGGCTCACCTCCTCTAGGGGGGGTCCGGGGGGATGCTCCCCCGGGAAGATTTTTTTTTAAATATTGAAGTTAAATGCATCAATCTGGTGCACTTTGAGAGCAAAATGAAGAGATCTATGGATACCTCTCTCAACACCCATATGAAGCAGAACTGTAAACAGATGTACTTTTTCTTTATGGATATTTTACTAATCACTCCCCTTTTAAACTCTATTCTTGTTCTTAAACACAAAAGTTGTGGTGACTGATGTTGCACTATCTGATCATTCCTGTGTTTTCTTTGAGAGCTCTATTTCTGTTCACAAAAATGTTCAGAAAGAGGTAACCACAAAGCGATATTTAACTGAAAATACTAGGGAAATGTTTACTCATAATTTTTCATCCACACTTGCCCCTGCTAACATCTCAGTAAATGAGCTAGTAGATCATTTTAATTCAAAAATTAAAAATGTTATAGATACCATTGCTCCAACTAAGGTAAAGGAAGTGACTGGCAAGAAAATATCTCCATGGAGAAAGGCCATGACCGTGAGAACAGAAAAAAGAGAGTGTCGAAAAGCTGAACGTAGGTGGCGAAAAACAAATCTCCAGGTTCACTTTGAAATCTATAAAGAGAGACTTGACCTTTATAATTTGGAATTGAAAAACGCACGACAGTCTTTCTTCTCTGACATCATTACCAAAAACAAAAACAACGCACGTGCCTTGTTTGCTACCGTCGACAGACTAACTAACCCCCCAGTGTCAGTAGCATCTGAATTTCTATCCACCAGGGCATGCAATGATTTTGCCTCCTTCTTCACTGACAAAATTCAGAAAATTAGACAAGCAGTCAGTGCCTCTGCATCAGGTACAGCAAATGTGTTGTCTCTGTGTCCACCTAATATCAATTCAAACACCATGACACAATTCCATCAGATTAATGATAAAAACTTAGAGGACATTATTCAACTTCTGAAATCCTCCTCCTGCTGCCTTGATATTATTCCAACAGGATTTTTCAAAGATGTTTTTCATTGCATGGCCTCAGATCTACTTGATATAGTAAACACATCTCTTCACTCAGGTATTTTTCCACAGGCACTGAAAACTGCAGTCATTAAACCGCTCTTAAAAAAGAATAATCTAGATGCTTCAGTAATGAACAATTACAGGCCAATATCAAACCTGCCATTTCTAGGTAAAATCATTGAAAAAGTTGTATTTCAACAGTTGAGTAACTTCTTGCATTTAAATAACTGTTTGGATGTGTTCCAGTCAGGATTTCGTCCAAACCACAGCACTGAGACTGCTCTTGTAAAGGTCTTCAATGACATCCACTTGACAGTGGCAGAACTTCAGTGTTAGTATTATTAGATCTCAGTGCTGCGTTTGACACTGTTGACCACAACATATTACTAGACCGACTAGAAAACTGGGTGGGACTTTCGGAAACAGTTCTAAATTGGTTTGAGTCCTACTTAAAGGACAGAAAAAACGTTGTTTCTATAGGTAAATACACATCTGAGTTGACAAATATGACATGTGGGGTACCTCAAGGCTCCATCTTGGGGCCTCTTCTCTTTAACATCTACATGCTACCACTGGCTCAGATAATGAAAAACAACAAAATAAGTTACCATAGCTATGCGGATGACACACAAATGTACGTAACAATTTCACCAGGAGACTATGCTCCAATTCAAACACTGAGTAAGTGCATTGAACAAATCAATGACTGGATGTGTCAGAACTTTCTCCAATTAAACAAAGATAAAACTGAGGTAATGGTTTTTGGAGCCAAGGCAGAACGTATAAAAGTTAGCGCTGAGCTTCAGTCTGCAATGTTCAAAACAACAGATAAAGCCAGAAATCTAGGTGTAGTCATGGACTCTGACCTGAGTTTCAACAGTCACATTAAAACAGTTACTAAATCAGCCTACTATCACCTAAAGAATATATCCAGGATTAAAAGACTAATGTCACAGCAGGATTTGGAAAAACTTGTCCATGCTTTTATCTTCAGTAGACTGGACTACTGTAATGGTGTCTTTACAGGTCTCACAAAAAAATCTATTAGAAAGCTGCAGCTAATTCAGAACGCCGCTGCTTGAGTCCTCACTAACACTAAGAAAGTGGATCACATCACTCCTGTTCTGAAGTCCTTACACTGGCTTCCTGTGTGTCAAAGAATAGATTTCAAAATATTGTTGCTGGTTTATAAAGCTTTGAATGGTTTAGGCCCAAATTACATGTCTGACCTACTGCTAAATTATGAACCATCCAGAACTCTCAGGTCTTCAGGGACTGGTCAGCTTTCTGTCCCCAGAGTCAGAACTAAACATGGAGAAGCAGCGTTCAGTTATTATGCTCCAAACATCTGGAACAAACTCCCAGAAACCTGCAGGTCCGCTGCAACTCTTACTACTTTTAAATCCAGGCTGAAGACTTTTCTTTTTGCCGCTGCTTTTAATTGAACTATTCATATCTTAAACTGCACTGTAACTTTTATCCATGTATTTTTTCTTTTAATGTTTATTTTATTATCTTTTATTTTTAATGACTGATTTTAAATGCCATTTTCTTAATGTCTTCCATTTTTGTAAAGCACTTTGAATTGCCTTGTGTTGAAAGGTGCTATATAAATAAACTTGCCTTGCCTTGCCTTGCCTTACTGCCATATAGTATTTCATAACTGTTTTTTCCTTTATTTTTTTAATAACTATAATGATCATATGAAGGTGTGCCGCGGAAATAATCTTTTGAATAATTTGTGACCAAACCGTTTGAGACCCACTGAGATAACTTAGACTAAAGTTAACTATCTAAACACTCAGAGAGTCCTTTAGCTCACCTGAGTCTCTCAGTCTGAGAGGAGAGGATCGCCTCCAGCTTCTTGTGGAACAAACAGCTCCTTATGTCCGTTAGTGCAGCTAGCTAACCAGATGCTAACAACACGGTCCATGCTGGCACCGGTCCCTCCCTCCCTCTCTCCCCCTCTCTCTCTCTATCACACTATTAAATTAAATGCGCTATTGCCACACACACACAGAGCCGAGCTTGAATGACACAAGCACACGTTTATTTCCATGCAACTCTCTGATTGGTCTGGTGTCATGCCTCTGTTGCATTCACTGAACACGGGAAATTACAGTGCTGCCGTCCTCTCTTGTCATGATGAGGTTCACGTAAAGCACGGTTAATGTATTATATTATTGAGGGAGAATTGTCCGGGGCTACAGAAAAAACATTCGGGGCTAAAGCCCCGGATGCCCAGGCCAGGCGACGCCACTGGTTATGACGATGAAAATCTTAGGTCACAGGCTCCTCCAACAGTGTAAAATAAGTACTTAAGTTAAAAAAGTGTTGCATGCTTAATCTTAAGTACAAGCAACAAATACTTAAAGTGTTAAAAGTACTTATTATTGCCATATAAATAGGGGTCTTCACTTAAAGGTGGAGCTCTTTTTCCTTTTAAACAGCTGGGTAACTTAATTTAACATACATAACAATCAAATCTGAATGTTTAAAGTAACTAAAGCGGAACAAAATAATTATTGTAAAAAAATGTTGGAGTCAAAATGCACTCAAGTATAAAGTAGCACAAAATGGAAACATTCAAGTACAGTAACTCAAATTGGCTTTTTCCCTACAGTAATTAAGTAAATAAACAAATAAATCTATATTTAAGTGTGTTTAGATTTTTTTTAAAGGATATACAAACAGTAAAAACGGTTAACAGCAGTGTATACTGTAAGTGGAGGCAAATCAAAGTGTTGGAGCAGTTTCATGGAAGACTGTAATATCAGGGTTTAAATCAGAGTTTATCAAACTGCTGCTGCCATTGGTGTAAATATCAGGCTGGCTGGAATCCCCCTGTAAACCTAGACAAATATGTGACATTAGTTACGCTTGAGGAGAGTCCCACAGAGAGTTGTTGCAGCAGGTTGACGTCTAACTCACACATGGATACTTCTATATCTATATTTAGATATAGCTAACCTGTTATTCTGCTTGGATGTTTTATTAAGTTTTAATAAGTGCAGCAAAATGCTGAGTAGCTATCTCAGACTATTTTGCAGGTATTATAAACAAAATAACTTGAGGTGAATTGTTGACCTGATTATGGATATGGACAATCAGAGAAAGATTTACAATTTCAATTTAAGGGCAGTGTCTGCAGTAGAATATATGTATAACAGAAAATAGCAGCTCAATGTGCTTTACAATAAACAATAAAGGGGCCCTATTATACCTTTTGGGGTTTCCCCTTTCCTGGAGTTTGTTATAGGTTTTTGTGCAAAAAAAACAACATCTCTCATTTACACCTACATTTTGACCTACATTTCACTCTTTTTTTCACAGGATTTAAACAGGCACCATGTACCAGGTATGAAAACCCTTTGGTTCAGAATACCTTGAACATCCACAAAGAACAACGCCTGCAGAGTGAGGAACAGATCACACTTGAGAAATTCGCTGAACTTCTTCATGTGCCACTTGAGGATGGATCTTGTTGCTCAACACACCGTCAGCTCAATGCAGAGCAGCAGCATCTCTGCCTCGTACAAAGATCTGTGGACCAACACTTCCAAGAGCTATCTCCAGATGTGGACCAGAACCTCCATCAGTACCTGGAGAACGTGCGGAAGATGGTTATTACCGAGTTTGTGAGGCTCGGCCCCCCTTTGACACGTATGGGGCTGATGGGAAGTCTGATTGATTGCTACCATCGTGAGACGTTTACTCGCCTCGATGATCTGCTGCAGATCGTCCGACCCTCCAAGAACTCCTTTGAGTTGATGAAATGGGTCCTACATACGTATCTGAGGTATCTTTCTCTACATTTTAAGCCTTTGGATATCTATTTGTTTTGTGGCAATGAGATGGACCCATCCTTGCAAATTGAAGAGACCCTTGACTAAAAAACAATCTTTCCGAAATGTTTGACTTAAATCACAGAATATTTTATCTGGTACAATTGTGATTTTCTTCTTGTTAATTACCCTGAAACATTATGAATACCTCAACTTGAAGGCGTACCGGGCCTTTACTTTCTTTTTTACCTAACCAAGTACATTTGATGCTTAAACCCATAGACACTGATCCACGTGTTCATGACATTGACCACATGCTATGAATGATGTCTGTTTTGATCCAAATGCATCACACAAGCAACCATACCCTTAATGACCCTTAATGAAATGCAAGGTCATAGAGACACTTTGCAGATTTTAAGAATTGTTCTCGTATTTCTTTTCTTATACCCTAAAAATATTTTCTGAATCATAGATTAATTAATAACTGATGTTATTGTTTTACTTTCCCAGCCCGGAGATGCTCTGTCATCCTGAACTTCAAGAAGTGGATCCCATTAAAAAGGTAGACCTCCTGCTGTTCACCGAGTGGGTGGGAAAAGCCAAGGACAAACTGCTTGAAAATGTGGAGGTAAGAATACTGAATTATGTAAATGTCCATGTTTGGCTATAGTTTGCTCCCAAATGCAGTTAAAAAGATTGAGGTAGGTATGAACAAAACGTGAGCTTTTAAATAAAGGAAGCTGATAACACAAACAGTTTAACACAAAAACAGGGGGCCTAGGCAAGGTAAAACAAAACTATAAAAAACAAAGAAAAACTGAACGAGTAGATACCAGAGAGGCACGAGGAACAAGGATAACACAGGGAAATCAGGCAGGACTGATAGAAGGAAGACGGGAACAAAGCCGCGTTCACACCGGAGTACTTTTCCCCGTACTTTTCGCGTTTAGTTCCGTTAGTACCCCTTATGTCACGTTCACACCAAAAAGAGTACTGAGTGCTGGGAACTTTTACCCCCATTTTTAGTGCCTGCTGAGAGATGGTACTTTCCTGGGGGAAAAAAGTGCCCCAGTTCTGATTGGCTGGGCGAATTGCAAACCACGCCCCGTAAAACTCTGAAATGTTTTGTAGAGCCGCCATTTTATTATCCTTGCATTAGCATTATTAGCATTAGCATTCGCCTAGCGCACAAACGCAGAGAGACTAACTTATGGCAACACAAAATAAAGCATGGGAGCGGTGGAGATGAGGAGGTGTTGGCGTTCTGGCGATTTACTCGGAAGGCTTCAGTAGAAGCTGCTGGGAGTCCCAGCAGCTTCTACTGAAGCCAGTCCCCAACTCCGGGGACTTCCGGCCGGGGACTTCGGGTGGCAGTATACACCGTGAAGTGGTTTGCGGCCTGCCAGTAAACCCAAAGCAGAAGAAGACGAAGTGACGTCAGCGGCTCATTTGCGTAATCTTCCCTCAGGGAACTTATTCCGGTGTGAACGCGATCTGTATTAAGTGCCCTGGGGTAATAAGTGCCGGGGCACTAAGTGCCGGCACTAAGTACAGCAAAGTACTTGGTGTGAACGCGGCTAAAGAGAGCGAACCACCAGAGATCACAGGGGAAGATGCTTATATACCCATAGGACTAATCACTGAGACAACACACAGCTGGGGGGAGGGGGCATGCAAAAACACAAAGGGTAGCAGGTGAATAGAAGCTGACAATCAAACAGGCGGGAAAATACATAGACAGGAAGTAAATCAAGACAAGACAGGAGGAAATATATTTCAAAAATAAAACCGTAAACAAAACCAGAATCATGACAGCAAATGTATGAATTATGCATTCATTTCTCAGTTACTCAGTGTCACTACAACCACACTGCTGAAAACTTCTGATGTGTATTTTGTCATCCTATTGTTGCACAGAACGAGGTCAAAGTGTTCCTGGAGAAAATCCTGCAGAATGAGAGAGACAAAGAAACTGTCAAAGATGACCTGTATGTGGACACTATCCAGGTACAAAGTCTATGGTTACTATGAGAGTTATAGAAAAGACTAGTGTGCATATATGTGTCTATTAATAAAGTATATCTTCCTATATACTCTCTTTTTCAGTACATTATTTGAAATATCTATCTAGTTGTAACTATAAAATGTGATAATTAAATAGTGAATTGCATTATTTAAAAAAAAAATTGATTTCCAATGTATCTGTTGAAAAATGTCGTTGTTGTTGTTTCTCTTTCAGTGCATTGATGCCATGATCGAGGCGGGGCGACAAATCAGCCAAAAACTGTCTGGCCGCGTGCAGGATGTCTGTTTCCAAGAGCTGCTGAATTTTCTGACACAGTGAGAATAATTTACTGATTTATTTACACATATTAACACCAGTACCTAAAGCATGAATAATAACAATTGCTTTTTATTTGCTTTGTAGGTACACCAATGAGCAGACTGAGATTCTTGAAAAAAAAGCAAAAGTGGACCAACCAGAAATCAAAGATTTCTTCAAGACTTTGAAGAACTGCAAAGAAATCAAGTAAGAGGGGACCTATTCTGCTCATTTTTAGGTTTCATAATTTTTTGACATATCCCCATGTGGTCCGGCAGTGGCTCAGTCAGTAGGGGCTTGGACTGGGAGCTTTAGGGGCGCCGGTTCAAGTCCCCGACCAGACCTAAAATATGGAGTGTGGACTGCTACTTGGAGAGGTCCCAGTTCACCTCCTGCCCTGCCGTGGTGCCCTTGAGCAAGGCACCGGACACCCCCCTTCCCCCCTCACTCCCATTGCTCCCGGGTGCTGTACAATAGCTGCCCACTGCTCCTAGTACTAGACTCCAGGTACTAGGATGGGTTAAATGCAGAGAACACATTTCACTGTGTGTGCTGTGTGCTCTGCATGTGTGACCATTAAAGAGGGTTTCATCCCTCCCAATTCTATCTATCTATCTATTCTATTTAATGTTCAGAAAACTCTTTATTTTTCTCATACTGCCTGTGCTGCAGCACCTCTTTTCACCCTCTGTCTGAAACCAGAGCCCAGTCTGCTCTGATTGGTTAGCTGGTCAACTTTTTATTTATTGGTCAACCGCTTAGAGATATCACGTACAATGTGTTGAAGTGCTATCCAATAGAAGCGTGAGTGTTACATAGTGATGTCACTATTTCCAGGAAGTTAACTTATTTTTCCTCTGATTTTTCCTCTCAGGCAGTACATCCAGACAAAGGAGATCAAAACATCCCTTCTCAAAGAAACCCTGGCTGTACTTGACAACATGGAGACTTTTACTTTGAAAGTCCTGAAGGAAATCACAGCTGACATGACAGAGGTAGCTATTCAACTTAATCACTAATATAATGTTTTCTTACATGTTTAAAAGTGGATTATGATTTATGCATTATATCGAACTAATGTTTATGTTTTTGTTAAATCACAGAGGTACCTTAAGAAATACTTCAAATCGGAGAACAAGGACTTTCTCCCCTTGATCCAGGACTTGAAGCATCTTTTCTCAGAGCTGCAGGGCTTCCAGGGCGTCCAAATGGTACGTCTTGAATCCCCCCATTCAAATCTTTATTGTTGAATTTGCATTGACAATGACAAAAGCTTCCTATTTCCTTAAGAGTGTTTGTTTTTAATTTCTGCCTAATTTAAAGGTGCTACGTCCATTATGTGAAATATCAATATTTAGCTCATTTTTTCCCATTTCTCTTTTCTGCATTTAGTTAAAGTACTTGTGTATAATGCACAACCCTTGATATAATACCAATTAAGACTTTGGCATAAGTCTTCACTTTGGATTTAAATAGAGATATTTGCTGAGGAAAATGTGTAAAACCTATTGTCGTTGATCTATGAATGAATCATAAAGAACATGAAGTTATGCAGGCTTTTGTTTCCTCATATGTGTATCTTAATGCTTTTGTTCTTCTTTGTGTTTCTCAGAGAGTGGTGCACGAGGCCTACAAGCTCGTCACCTACCTTTACCTCAAGCATTTTATCCAGAGAAGTAAGAAAAAACTGTTGAGGTGCTGGGGTCCTGATGTTGGCCGAACAGTCTATCAAGATGCTGAAATGCTCCAGGAAACCTTTTCAATGATGGTATGTGCTCTTTTCTGTCATAATGAAGTTCATTCACCAGCAGCAGGATCACATCTGCTCTGGTTACCGCGTAGAGCCTGACCTGTGATGTTTTGTTTTAGGCTCCTGGTGTGGAACAGTGGCACCTCATGCTGCTCAGTGTCAGAGAACTGGACGAGTGTGAAAGCTTCGATGCTGTGAAGCTCACAGTGGCTAGAATGCATGACGAATATCACACGTGGAGGTAAATCTTTCAAATGTTTTTACACCTATCTTTCTTAATGCTGTCCAATAATGTGGCTTTTGAATTTATTCTGAAATGGGCCATCCAGGAGTACTTTGGTATTTAAAAAATATATATTTGATGCTAAAAAAAGATTTTAATTCACAGCGAGTTCATGGAGATCCTGCCCGCCCTGCTGCGATGGAAAGGCCTTTCTAAACGGAAGATTATGGAGCTGGAGGACATCCTGAAGGACCTCCCCAACTATCAACCCAGAGCAGGATCTGTTTCCTGGTTCTTGTGTTTTATCTACAAGAGGATCGACCGAAACAAGCAAAGATGACAGAGCTGAGTGTTCAGAAACCTTCCTGGACACCCTTCTTGAAACATGTCACCTTTGGCAGTGAGTTGTAAGAAAGTTAGGTGAGAGTTTTAGTGATTTTGTGATGCAATTATGGCTGATGATGAGGCCGAATGAGGAAGGACAAGAAGGGAAGAATTGACCAACGATCCATAAAATAAATATAGGGACAGTTGTAGAGCGCAAGCACGATTCAAATGTTTGTTTGTTCACGAAATACATTGCAAGACGTTATTTGACATCATTATAAAAAAGAAAATGCATCGGCTTGCCAGAATAAAAATCACGCGAGGGAGGTGCTCATGGGTGAAAACACTACCGCTTCTGTCCACAGGGGGCACCTAAATCACTACAAAATGAACCTTCTTATAGCTGCTTTAAAACTGAAGGGTTTATAGATTGTTATTATTGTTTACGATTTAAGATATTTCGAATATTTATGTGGAACAGTTAAATTGTGTTTCATACTTTATATGCTGCCTCTCCGTTATCATGTTCATATTTTATTATTATTTATTAAATATTAAATTATGTATTTATATGAACATATTTATATTTAACAGAAACTAGAATCAACCATACAGTATAAAACGTTATTGTTAAAAATGTATTTTTTTTAGCTACTCAAACCATTCTGATTTACACTTGAACTGTCAAATTTGTTCTTAAACGTTTTTGCTACTATTTTCTTTTTTAATGCTTTTACAATCAGGGTACAGATGTTGGTTACTCTTATTTCTGCCTGCTAAATATTTAATAATGCATTCCACTTAACTATTTTTGTGTGAGTTGTACAATATTGTTTTGTTTTATTTTATTCCCTCTTTATTCCTGTATCTTATTTTCAGCTTCAATGTGAGTTGAATTGCTGCACTACAATCTTATGTACTGTATTCTCGTGGTGATGTTTTTGTTTAGGAGCTTATAGTTTGGGTTACAGGGACAATCAAACAATGTTTAATAAATAAAATACAAATCTAATAGAAGGATTTATTAAAAAGTACGATTTCTGTTGATTTGTGTAATGGTACCGGACGCTTTTTGTAGGTATTTTTGCTGTAGAAAAAATAGAAAAAATAATTAAATAAAAATAAAAGGAAAATATGTTGGTTGTGTGTTCATTCTATCATCACGAGATGGAGACTAACATCAATGTACAAACATTTGACTTTATGAGAAATTGTTCTGGGGGCGGGACCCTTCAATGGGACACAAGATAAATGTGAGGGGTCATATTTTAGATTTATAGAGAAACAGGCATGAATCTTTTTGTTCCATTTGACTCTTCACATCTAAAATAAATTCCTTAAACTGCTGAAAACTCTTACCTGCACCCTCAAATACACAAGACCAATGATTTTATTGGCTATATTATTTTTTATATTAATATTTTGTAGGCCAAATAAAATGATTGGACCAACTTTTTGAAGTCCTGCGACAGCCTTAGAAACCAAATAGTTTTGCCTTTTGTCAGATTTATTGATCGATTTAGGGATCTAAAGAGTATTTAAACACATGAATGTTTTCTAAAATAAAATGTCCACGCGTTGTTTCTTTTTTAGCATTGCCCCACTATCTAATCTTTCTAATTGATTAAATTCTTGAACTTTAAGGGCCCCAATGCGCTGTCCTTATCAAAATGAATCTCCAAAAACGTATTATCAAGGCTGATGAGACACTTTGGCAGTGGTCCTGGTTACTGAACACAAAAACAGTGTCCATGTTTGACTTAGTATCTAAAACTGTCAGTAAAAAAACATTTTCCAGGTGATCCTAGACCGGGAACTACGGTTTCATTTTCTTTTAATTCTATGCAGTTATTTAGTTCCACATAGCTTTTCTAGTTTAGTGACTTTCTCTACAGGACTTTATGTTTTGAAACAAATAAAAATGTTTTGCATTGAATTCAGTTTAGTTTTATTTGAAGTTATCATGTTTGTGTATCTTTATCTAAACTGGGTGAGATCTGAAGTTATTTTTATTGTTGTTGCATTTTGACCTTCAGGGCCACCATACTTAGGCTTTTGTACTCTTACCACATATTTATCATTTATATTGTATTTTTGATAGAACAGCAGAAAAGCAATGGAGTATTCCATTATACAGCATCCAGTTAAATGTCAGCCTCATAATTTCCCGGTTTTAATGATCATATTTTTACGACCGTCTTCCTGCACACACCCGATACATAAACACAGTCCAACTTTCAGGGAAAAACGACATGCTGATAGTAATTTGCAGCAAAGGCACATCCTTCCTCTGCCTTAAAGAGGTGCAGATATTACTCAGAAATAGTAAACAGGAAACACCTCTGCCCAGCGGGTATTTCCACACAAAATCTCAATGATTTCCTGGGATTGTTCAGCTTAGCTTTAGCCGCTTGTGATGTTGTGGTCACGTTTTCCTCACAGGCAAACAGGACATATTATGCTCATTTACAGGTTCATATTTGTATTTTGTGTCTCTACTGGGACATGTTTACTTTATTTATGCTATTTGCACCCAGGTGACTATAGTCAACAATGCTATATGCACCCGGGTAACTATATTGAACAATGCTATGCAACCGGGTAACTATATTGAACAATGCTATGCACCCGGGTAACTATATTGAACAATGCTATGCAACCGGGTGACTATAGTCAACAATGCTATATGCACCCGGGTAACTATATTGAACAATGCTATGCAACCGGGTAACTATATTGAACAATGCTATGCAACCGGGTAACAATATTGAACAATGCTATGAAACCGGGTGACTATAGTTAACAATGATATGCACCCGGGTGACTATATTGAACAATGCTATGCAACCGGGTAACTATATTGAACAATGATATGCACCCGGGTAACTATATTGAACAATGCTATGCAACCGGGTAACTATATTGAACAATGCTATGCAACCGGGTAACAATATTGAACAATGCTATGAAACCGGGTGACTATAGTTAACAATGATATGCACCCGGGTGACTATATTGAACAATGCTATGCAACCGGGTAACTATATTGAACAATGATATGCACCCGGGTAACTATATTGAACAATGCTATGCAACCGGGTGACTATAGTCAACAATGCTATATGCACCCGGGTAACTATATTGAACAATGCTATGCAACCGGGTAACTATATTGAACAATGCTATGCAACCGGGTAACTATATTGAACAATGCTATGCAACCGGGTGACTATAGTCAACAATGCTATATGCACCCGGGTAACTATATTGAACAATGCTATGCAACCGGGTAACTATATTGAACAATGCTATGCAACCGGGTTACTATATTGAACAATGCTATGCAACCGGGTGACTATAGTCAACAATGCTATATGCACCCGGGTAACTATATTGAACAATGCTATGCAACCGGGTAACTATATTGAACAATACTATGCAACCGGGTAACAATATTGAACAATGCTATGAAACCGGGTGACTATAGTTAACAATGATATGCACCCGGGTGACTATATTGAACAATGCTATGCAACCGGGTAACTGTATTGAACAATGATATGCACTCGGGTAACTATATTGAACAATGCTATGCAACCGGGTGACTATAGTCAACAATGCTATATGCACCCGGGTAACTATATTGAACAATGCTATGCAACCGGGTAACTATATTGAATAATGCTATGCAACCGGGTAACTATATTGAACAATGCTATGCAACCGGGTGACTATAGTCAACAATGCTATATGCACCCGGGTAACTATATTGAACAATGCTATGCAACCGGATAACTATATTGAACAATGCTATGCAACCGGGTTACTATATTGAACAATGCTATGCAACCGGGTGACTATAGTCAACAATGATATGCACCCGGGTGACTATATTGAACAATGCTATGCAACCGGGTAACTATATTGAACAATGATATGCACCCGGGTAACTATATTGAACAATGCTATGCAACCGGGTGACTATAGTCAACAATGCTATATGCACCCGGGTAACTATATTGAACAATGCTATGCAACCGGGTAACTATATTGAACAATGCTATGCAAACCGGGTGACTATAGTCAACAATGCTATATGCACCCGGGTAACTGTATTGAACAATGCTATGCACCCGGGTAACTATATTGAACAATGATATGCACCCGGGTAACTATATTGAACAATGCTATGCAACTGGGTGACTATAGTCAACAATGCTATATGCACCCGGGTAACTATATTGAACAATGCTATGCAACCGGGTAACTATATTGAATAATGCTATGCAACAGGGTAACTATATTGAACAATGCTATGCAACCGGGTGACTATTGTCAACAATGCTATATGCACCCGGGTAACTATATTGAACAATGCTATGCAACCGGGTAACTATATTGAACAATGCTATGCAACCGGGTTACTATATTGAACAATGCTATGCAACCGGGTGACTATAGTCAACAATGATATGCACCCGGGTGACTATATTGAACAATGCTATGCAACCGGGTAACTATATTGAACAATGATATGCACCCGGGTAACTATATTGAACAATGCTATGCAACCGGGTGACTATAGTCAACAATGCTATATGCACCCGGGTAACTATATTGAACAATGCTATGCAACCGGGTAACTATATTGAACAATGCTATGCAACTGGGTGACTATAGTCAACAATGCTATATGCACCCGGGTAACTGTATTGAACAATGCTATGCACCCGGGTAACTATATTGAACAATGATATGCACCCGGGTAACTATATTGAACAATGCTATGCAACTGGGTGACTATAGTCAACAATGCTATATGCACCCGGGTAACTATATTGAACAATGCTATGCAACCGGGTAACTATATTGAACAATGCTATGCACCCGGGTAACTATATTGAACAATGCTATGCAACCGGGTGACTATAGTCAACAATGCTATATGCACCCGGGTAACTATATTGAACAATGCTATGCAACCGGGTAACTATATTGAACAATGCTATGCAACCGGGTAACAATATTGAACAATGCTATGAAACCGGGTGACTATAGTTAACAATGATATGCACCCGGGTGACTATATTGAACAATGCTATGCAACCGGGTAACTATATTGAACAATGATATGCACCCGGGTAACTATATTGAACAATGCTATGCAACCGGGTAACTATATTGAACAATGCTATGCAACCGGGTAACAATATTGAACAATGCTATGAAACCGGGTGACTATAGTTAACAATGATATGCACCCGGGTGACTATATTGAACAATGCTATGCAACCGGGTAACTATATTGAACAATGATATGCACCCGGGTAACTATATTGAACAATGCTATGCAACCGGGTGACTATAGTCAACAATGCTATATGCACCCGGGTAACTATATTGAACAATGCTATGCAACCGGGTAACTATATTGAACAATGCTATGCAAACCGGGTAACTATATTGAACAATGCTATGCAACCGGGTGACTATAGTCAACAATGCTATATGCACCCGGGTAACTATATTGAACAATGCTATGCAACCGGGTAACTATATTGAACAATGCTATGCAACCGGGTTACTATATTGAACAATGCTATGCAACCGGGTGACTATAGTCAACAATGCTATATGCACCCGGGTAACTATATTGAACAATGCTATGCAACCGGGTAACTATATTGAACAATACTATGCAACCGGGTAACAATATTGAACAATGCTATGAAACCGGGTGACTATAGTTAACAATGATATGCACCCGGGTGACTATATTGAACAATGCTATGCAACCGGGTAACTGTATTGAACAATGATATGCACTCGGGTAACTATATTGAACAATGCTATGCAACCGGGTGACTATAGTCAACAATGCTATATGCACCCGGGTAACTATATTGAACAATGCTATGCAACCGGGTAACTATATTGAATAATGCTATGCAACCGGGTAACTATATTGAACAATGCTATGCAACCGGGTGACTATAGTCAACAATGCTATATGCACCCGGGTAACTATATTGAACAATGCTATGCAACCGGGTAACTATATTGAACAATGCTATGCAACCGGGTTACTATATTGAACAATGCTATGCAACCGGGTGACTATAGTCAACAATGATATGCACCCGGGTGACTATATTGAACAATGCTATGCAACCGGGTAACTATATTGAACAATGATATGCACCCGGGTAACTATATTGAACAATGCTATGCAACCGGGTGACTATAGTCAACAATGCTATATGCACCCGGGTAACTATATTGAACAATGCTATGCAACCGGGTAACTATATTGAACAATGCTATGCAACCGGGTGACTATAGTCAACAATGCTATATGCACCCGGGTAACTGTATTGAACAATGCTATGCACCCGGGTAACTATATTGAACAATGATATGCAACCCGGGTAACTATATTGAACAATGCTATGCAACTGGGTGACTATAGTCAACAATGCTATATGCACCCGGGTAACTATATTGAACAATGCTATGCAACCGGGTAACTATATTGAATAATGCTATGCAACCGGGTAACTATATTGAACAATGCTATGCAACCGGGTGACTATTGTCAACAATGCTATATGCACCCGGGTAACTATATTGAACAATGCTATGCAACCGGGTAACTATATTGAACAATGCTATGCAACCGGGTTACTATATTGAACAATGCTATGCAACCGGGTGACTATAGTCAACAATGATATGCACCCGGGTGACTATATTGAACAATGCTATGCAACCGGGTAACTATATTGAACAATGATATGCACCCGGGTAACTATATTGAACAATGCTATGCAACCGGGTGACTATAGTCAACAATGCTATATGCACCCGGGTAACTATATTGAACAATGCTATGCAACCGGGTAACTATATTGAACAATGCTATGCAACTGGGTGACTATCGTCAACAATGCTATATGCACCCGGGTAACTGTATTGAACAATGCTATGCACCCGGGTAACTATATTGAACAATGATATGCACCCGGGTAACTATATTGAACAATGCTATGCAACTGGGTGACTATAGTCAACAATGCTATATGCACCCGGGTAACTATATTGAACAATGCTATGCAACCGGGTAACTATATTGAACAATGCTATGCAACCGGGTGACTATAGTCAACAATGCTATATGCACCCGGGTAACTGTATTGAACAATGCTATGCAACCGGGTAACTATATTGAACAATGCTATGCAACCGGGTAACTATATTGAACAATGCTATGCAACCGGGTGACTATAGTCAACAATGCTATATGCACCCGGGTAACTATATTGAACAATGCTATGCAACCGGGTAACTATATTGAACAATGCTATGCAACCGGGTAACTATATTGAACAATGCTATGCAACCGGGTGACTATAGTCAACAATGCTATATGCACCCGGGTAACTATATTGAACAATGCTATGCAACCGGGTAACTATATTGAACAATGCTATGCACCCGGGTAACTATATTGAACAATGCTATGCAACCGGGTGACTATAGTTAACAATGATATGCACCCGGGTGACTATATTGAACAATGCTATGCAACCGGGTAACTATATTGAACAATGATATGCACCCGGGTAACTATATTGAACAATGCTATGCAACCGGGTGACTATAGTCAACAATGCTATATGCACCCGGGTAACAATATTGAACAATGCTATGCAACCGGGTAACTATATTGAAAAATGCTATGCAACCGGGTAACTATATTGAACAATGCTATGCAACCGGGTAACTATATTGAACAATGCTATGCAACCGGGTAACTATATTGAACAATGCTATGCAACCGGGTGACTATAGTCAAAAATGCTATATGCACCCGGGTAACTATATTGAACAATGCTATGCAACCGGGTAACTATATTGAACAATGCTATGCAACCGGGTTACTATATTGAACAATGCTATGCAACCGGGTGACTATAGTCAACAATGATATGCACCCGGGTGACTATATTGAACAATGATATGCACCCGGGTAACTATATTGAACAATGCTATGCAACCGGGTAACTATATTGAACAATTCTATGCAACCGGGTGACTATAGTCAACAATGATATGCACCCGGGTAACTATATTGAACAATGCTATGCAACCGGGTGACTATAGTCAACAATGCTATATGCACCCGGGTAACTATATTGAACAATGCTATGCAACCGGGTAACTATATTGAACAATGCTATGCAACCGGGTAACTATATTGAACAATGCTATATGCACCCGGGTAACTGTATTGAACAATGCTATGCACCCGGGTGACTATATTGAACAATGCTATGCAACCGGGTGACTATAGTCAACAATGATATGCACCCGGGTGACTATATTGAACAATGATATGCACCCGGGTAACTATATTGAACAATGCTATGCAACCGGGTAACTATAGTCAACAATGCTATGCAACCGGGTAACTATATTGAACAATGCTATGCAACCGGGTGACTAGTCAACAAAATTGAGTTAAACATATTTAAAAATGTACGGCTTAAGATTTTTTAGAAAATCACCATCGAATCACACACAGGTTTCACCAAATTTATTTAAAAAACATACCTTGCATTCAACACTCTCTTTTACAATACAACAGATGACGTGAAATCTGTTTTATTGCACATGGAAAGCAAAATATACACATCAATAATAAAATACTATAACACTGATTCTTAAAACAAGTACTTGTTTCCCAAACATATACATTCATGTTACTCATTAGTAAAAAGCGCAAGATCTGTACCGAATGTAATGTTTTGAACATTCAAAGATGTGGTTGAGGTTTTTTTACTTTTGGACATTGCTCTGGAGTAATCGGAAACACCACTGAAATGATTACAAAAATAGTTTAATACTATTCATTTTGTAGTTAATCTTTAACGGCAGAAATATTCGGTTTAAACAGAATGATTACCCCTCACCCAAAAACAAAAGAACAATGCAAAACATTTTGTATGATAACGTTCAGCACAGCCTGATGAAGCACCATATTTACCAGCAACAATAATGTGAACTGTAGCTTATTCAAACACAGTACTCATTTTATATTATTATTTTCAGCATAAGTAACATTTCGACCGAGCCTTGTCACACCGAGAGAGCAGTGCAGACTCGTTATAATCAGAAACATGATACAGTAAACGATATGTACAACCCGCCTTTCAGCCAACTTTGAAATGAGGATAACTGAATGATTTATGGCTCATTTGACTTGAACGAGGGAGAAAAAGGAACGAGGCTGGGTGTTGCTTCCTATTTCCATTTTCAAAGTGTGCAGAATGTCTGTGGCGGATTTCCTGTCAGCTTTAGTGAGGTCGGTCTTGAGCTTCAGCAGAGCCAAAACATGTTTTTCACTGTGGGTGAAAAAGGAACAAAATCAACCCAAATGCATTATTTGTTATTACGATCTCAGAGAAACCTGAACATGGTGCGAAACTGAAGGTTATTTAAATTAGATGTTTATCAATTAAGGTCGGGAAGTACTTTTTTCATTGTTTTTTTTGCTCCGTCTTTTTTGTATGAGCCATAAATGCGTCCTATATTATTTGAACAAACAAGGAAGCAATGGTGGCAGCTATAAGGAGCTGATAACCTAACTGTTTTTAAAGTCAATCAAACACATTATCTGTAATGTTCCTCCACTAGAGGTCTGTCAATCAAAACAATATCAAAAGTTAGAGGTTGGTGGCATGAAGGAGTTGTAGAGGTCGTATCCAGACATCTGATAACTAAATCCTTCGTGACAGTGAAACATGCTCAAAGGGGATACAACTCTGTCACAGGAAACTTTATTAAACGGGCCGTTACCTTGATTAAAAGTAATATAGTTCAATACATAAAGCATAGGTCTTGTTGTGTTTAGACATTTGAAGGCAACAAATGTCCTAAGTCGTTCCTTTAGTGGTTCTGGCACAAGACATGTTTTAATTCAATTATTAATCTTGCATTCAACTCTCCCATTGGCGCCTATCAACCAATAGTTTTGAGGTACTTGTACTTTCATGTATTAGCATTTTGTGCTACTTATACTCCACTTTTGGAGAGATAACGGTGTGCTTTCGATTTGCCTCGCTATATTTAGGGTGTCTGCAGATACACACACTGACACACTTCTAGTGGGTCAGAAGTGATGATAGGGATTATTTGTATAAAAGTCTATAAATTGTGCCTTTAAAATAACAATTTTAAGGTCAACATGTTGCTTCACTTTTAACCAAGTCTGGAAATATTTGACTCTGACTGGAATCATTAGCTGTAGCCTCCTTATTTCACTGCAGTTCTGTGATAGCACACCACAGCACTTCCACTGACACGTGACTACTTTTAGCTCTCAGTGCTGTCCTGCTGCCAGGAAATATCTGAACATATTTTCACTTCCTGGTCCTTTGCCCTTCAGGGGGTTTGTTTATCCTCCACTAATATAAACCACTCACAGCATGATACTGCCCTTATGAGGTCAGATACATTGCTGTGTATATATTGTTTGATTGCAAAGGTTACCTGACGTCAGGGTAATCAGTTCCAAGAGAGGCGACTTCGATCTGTATGGCGGGGAGATCCTGGAGTTTCAGCACTTCTGCAATCTTGAACAGGATTTCCTTCAACCAATGATCCTCTGATCCCTGTGATGACAGAGCGCTTACATCATTCAGAGGGATCTACACGCCGATTGTTTATGGAAACATTTGATCTGTTTTGGTTTTGTGGAGTTTCCCTGAATAACTTATTTATCACACACTGTGGTCAGCTCAAGGCTAAACCCAATTACCTTTTTTTTTACAATCAAATCTCGAATTGAGGTTTTCCAATGAACACTTAAAAGAAAAACACGCAGATATCAAAAACCAACAAAAAATCCAAAGAACTAAATCCTCAATTTGAATTAAATGATCAATTGGATAACATTAGTCCGTCATTTGTTTATTAAATGAACTTTCTTTAATGGATTTAAGTCGTCAGTGTGTGCAGCAAGCTTGAGAGCAAACTCGTTTTTTTTTACCACAGTAAAAGTGTTTTTTTTGGAACGTTAACGCCAGGAAACATGGATTGAAGCAATATATTTTTACTTCTCGACTTGACAGTGCTCTGGAGTTATTGGAAATATTTTGATCACACAAGCTGGAAACAATTATGCGCTGTCTGAACTGGAATGTAAAACCAAAAAAAGTATTATACTAAGAATACTAGTGCATCCTTATCTTTATCTGCAACTGTGCAGAAATACCAGGTTTAAACAGACAAAAAAACTGCTGAGCAAATTAAACTTCAAACTTTTCGCTACAGCCCTAGTCAGTACAGGTATTTCTTATGTTGAACTACAACCAAAAATGAGTTTGGGGTAAAATATAATACTTGTGTTAAGCGATTTTGTGCTCCATTCTCACCATTTGGACGAATAAATGATGCAAATTCTCTGCGTTGTCCTTCACAGTCAGGTAGGCCTTCAGCTGTTGCTTCTTGTCCTTTAGTTTTACTTTTCCTTTCAGGAGCCTACTCACATATTCTACTGTAACCTCCTGCTCCAGCTGGCCCATCAGCTCCTGAAATGAATACAATAATTGAATCAAATCAGAGCAAGAAATGAATAGTTTCAGCCTAAATTGTAATTACATTTACCTTGATAAAGAACCAAGCAGTTCATTTTGGGTGAGTTTTAAGAACCATACCATTGATTTTACAGAATTCTGTCCATGTAAAACGTTATTCCTGGCAATTTTATAAACAATGTAACACAGTTGTTCAGAGTTTCGATAGCATTTTTTACATTTCCAGACAACTAATGGCTTTAATTCATTTATTTACAGCTTGAAAATCAGTGTGTTGACTTTGAAAACGTGTTTCAGTAGTTTCATCCATGGCTGTAAACACAACTGATTTCCATCTAAACTATAGCATACTTTGCACAATGTTTATAAATCTAAAGTCTACATGAATTGAAGTGTGTGTTTCATGCTTTCTTCAGTCTACCTTGTGACAGGATTCAGTTGAACCCTGAAGATCTTGACCCTCTTTGTTGATGCCGTCCAGCAGCTCATTAAACTCACTCTGGTGCAGCCAGTCGCTGGTTCCCAGTTTGCGGTACTGCGGCTGTGTGGGAACCATGACGCATTAGAAAGGAAACACTTCCATGCACAGTGGCAGAGAATACAGTTACAGGAGGATAGGATTTCACCTCCTATGTTTGGTGCAAATTTGCATATGTTGGTTCCCTTTGTCAAACTAAACTATGACATGTGTGTTTGGGTAATGAACAAAATATGTTGTTAATGGATGTGGCATTGTCACCGTGATTTTAATGGTTTTTGACCAACATTATGGCTCTATAGGAAGGATGATAATTCAGGCTTTAGTACACAGGCCATATGTGTACGTTGAACATGCATTGTTGATTTGTTTTTTTTCCACAGTATTTGTTGACAATAATAAAGAATCTCACCTTGAGGCGCTTGTGCAAAGGTTGTAATAAGTATGTGTGGGCAGATTGTTTCATGTCAGTCAGAACACGCAAACAGTTCTTCCTCACATCTTCTGTGAACAGATGTCTCTCCTTATTGAGGACTTCACTGCAGAGAGAGCAAATAAGTCACATTAGCTTACATTTCTATTGTGATAGCATGAAGGCTACGCTACAATGCGTGAATGTCAGAAACGTACCTGAACTGTTTGATACAGTCGAGGTTGGCCTTGATGAACGACCTGCTGTTTGCCTTGTTTTGCTTTATGACGTCACTTTGGAAGCTCTTGTAACTGCACAGGTTATAAAAAAACATTTTACTTTCACTTCGTTATTGTTGTGCTTATCAAACACAAGATAAAAAAGCTTTTGTAAACAAAATGTTTTGAAGATAATCATCAGTCTTGTTACCTGTCCATTAAATCTTTTGATATATGGCACGTTATTCTCTGGGCCTTGTGCGGATCTCCCAAAACTTTTGTAGATGAAGTCACCTTACCGTTGATGAGCTAAACACAGATGGTCAATGACAGACTTTAAAAAACAACAACAGCCTGATTCTCCCAAACAGTCAAACCAACTAAAAACTGGACTGAGTGGACTTTCTATAAATAACTTAGACCCTGACTCACTGTTAATCTTATTGGTTAATCCTTTTCTAAAACTGTTTGGTTTTCTCCGGTTTGGTTAATATGTAAAACTGCCTGGGAAAACATTGTGTTGTAAAATACTCTGACAAGCTACAGCTTATTCCAGGTCTAAACGGCAGAACAGAGGACATGGTTAAATATTGTATTTTTACATTTTGTTCTCTTATACTCAAAAGAAGCGTATGACATGATGAATAGCAAACACCCATTTCAAACTTCTTGTCAAATCCACATACAGTAACAGAAGATAGAAGCTTTTTATATTGATACCATTATAACAATGTATTGTTTTCAGCCACCAGAGAGCAGCCAAATCAATCTGCTAGCTCATATTTTACACATTATCAACTATATAAGTTGATACACTTGTTAGCATTCCAATTTCAACATCGACAGATTCAGAGCAACATGATCCCTCATTAAGATAAAACGTTTTTTTAGGAGTTTGTGTCCAATATTCACTCTGTTTGTTGATCTGATTTTGGACTCCACCTACTACTACGGGACTATTTGGCTCTTTTGCTCCTAAATGCTCCCATATGTTTACCACCTGGTCATTAATAGCTGTACAAATGCAGCGTTTTTACCGCCTCAAAGACGCAGCTTGTTCTCTAAAAAGCTGTTTAATTGTACCTGAATGATGTCGTATGCCACAGGACTAAAGAAGCAGCCGTCCTCTGTTTCCGGCTCCTCTCCTTTATTCCACTTTTCCCTTTCTTCACCCAGCACCCGACGGATTATTGTAGTCAGCTCACCCTGAACACACAACACCATGAAGCTGAAACAGTCTTTTCTACACAGTAAAAGAAAGGTAACACTTTAATAAAACTAACCAAACTACAACTAAAAACAGCAGCTCAGGTCACCTGTTGGTTGCTCAGGTATTCATCCTCCAGCGATTTCAGTAACTTTTCAGGCAGCAGCTTTCCCAACGGCCCACTATCGATCTCGCTGTGTAGCTGTGGCTTTGCAAGGATTCTGAAACAGACACCAAACATCACAACTTTCATTACATGTCACTTGTTAGACGCTTTTATCCAAAGTGACTTACATACTCAATACTGTGGGCAATCCCCACAGGAGCAATTTTGGGTGAAGTGTCTTGCCCAGGGACTCAACGACATGCTGACTGCAGTGGGGTTTGAACCTGTTTTTTTCAAGATGTCTCGAGGGGTTAATGAAGGCATGTTTTAACCCCTCGTTCTGTCCCTGATCCGAACACCAACACACAACCCACTGCACCACATGCCTTCATTAACCCCTCGAGACATCTTGAGCATCAAGGTTTGGATTTCTGTGCATTTTCAACAGTTTTTTCTCATAATATTGACTTCATTTTCTTAATTTCAAAACAAGAACAGGCAGTGTTTTTTGTGATTGTGAGTTAATAGTTTGGAAACATCAGGGTATGACTGTGTAGAAGTGACTCAAAGAAAACTATAACAAAACCTAATCTGAGATTTGCGCAACTCCTGCAACTGATTCATACTAAATTATATAAGAGCTCTCAATTATTTGTGGGTCTTTTCTTGGACCACTTTTAAATCAAACATTTTTTCTCTGATTATAACTACGCTCCCTTCTGACTCTGTGTTTATTACTTTTTGTACCCATTACTTTTGGGAGTCAAAACTACAAGTTTAATTCTTAAATACCCTTAAAATGAAAATACTCAAACTTGGTAACCATGGATCAGCGTGTTGGACAAAGGATAAACTGGTGGACCTTTACCGTGACACTACTAACACAAAAACACAATAACATGGAGTTTTATTCAAACAATTGAAGCCATGACTTACTCTGGATAATACTCGTTCACCCAGCGCAGGAGGAAAATGCGATCCTTGTCCACCAGACCAAAGTCTGCGATGTTCACAAGACTGGCGCTTAAGGTTTGGTGGTATAACTTGGAGTAAAAATTGCAAATGTCCATCTCTTGTGGGTAGCATCTCTTCACACCGCCCACCACAGACAGCAGATCCTCTTTCAGCTGCCTGCCCATGTTGGTGAGGTCCGCCTGGATAGTAGTCAGTTTGATCTGGCAAGCAGAGGGCGTTGAAGGGTTTTCCATACGTTCTTTCACCAAGCTGAGGAGCGTGGAGTCGTGCAGCTTCCTCCATCCACTGGGCCTCCAAGACGGAGGTGTCTGATCCCTTTGTTTCCACAGCAAGTCCTGTTCCTCCTCCTGCATCACGGCCTTCACGGCAGACGTCAGACCCGCCAAGCTGTCCTCTTCCAGACAAAGAGATTGTCCCAGAGTCTGCAGTACAAGGTCTTGCAGGGCCTTGCGGTCTGCCTTCAGCTGGTTTACTTGTTCCTCATGATGTGTAAGAGCGTCTGATTGCTTTAACTCTCTAAACAGACGCTCCTCTTTTTCTATCAGCAGCTGGCCGGCTTCAGACAATAGTTTTTCCTGGAGCCTCTGCTCATATGTGATCACTGAGGGGAAGAAAAGTCGCAGTAAATAATACCATCCTACTACCGTCGCAGTAAAACATTCTCCAGTAAAAGTCCTGTATTTATAATTACTTAAGTTGAAGTATGTGAGACTTATCAGAAACATGTAACTAAAGTATGAGAAAGTCTTTTTGTGTTTTACTATTATATATAATTTTTTTGTTTAATATTACTGCTGTATAAATGTGCATGATGAATGGTTCCTCTATGGATCATTCAAGTTGTGCTATTATTCTGGTATTTCAACTCGTGCAAAACGTTCATATCTTTTTTTAGTTTTTATGAGAAAACATGAAAGCAGCCCTGTTTTCAGTTCTGTGACTATGCATTTTCCAGCCTATCCAAATACTTAATCCTTCAGTTTATCATAATAATAAAAAATCACCACAACTAAACTAAATATACAATGTTTTGCTTGGTATGCAAATGATAGAGGAGAGGTGAGTCCCACCACCCAAAAATGTTAAGTTAATAACAAAATTATGATTATTGTCACATTAGCTTGTGCTGTTTTATGTATCTTAACTGACCGGGTTGGGGCTCCTCCTGTTGGGGTAAAGGGGATCCATCCGTCAGGCTGGAGGTGTTGTTGTTGACAGCCGGGGGTTGTGGTTGATCTCTGGGGCCGAACCCGAACCACTTTTTAATCCTAATGCCGCGTGTGTCGGTCCTCATCGTTTTCCTGGAACAGATACTGTGCCAGCAGCCAGAAAAACGCTCTGAAAACATACATGGAGACAAAAAGTATTGTTAATATAAAAAATAACGGTCTAACCAAACTAGTTAAAAAGCTAACAACAATTTTAGCAGTTTTTTGCTACATTAGCAAGCTATTTTGTAGTGTGTTAGTCATTTCCTTCAACAGACGCTACTCACCCTTATCTTACAATTGCTTCTCTGTTGATGCCATTCAGCTGCTGTGACTCTTTTAAAAGCTACAGCAGCAGGCTCCTCCTGCTTGATCGAGATATGGAAAGTCCACCCCCCCCCAGAAACACACACACACATCTGGTCTTTTTTTAAACACATGATGAGCTTAGGGAAATGCTGTCCACTTTTGTTTGGTTAAGAGTGAGATTCCCCGATGATTTAAAGGACTTAACATTATTAAATGTTCTAGAGACATTCATGGACCCCAGTGGATGAACCCACTCTGGTGATTTCCTTACTTTCCCCTCTGGCAACAAGTTAAGAAACAAGACGAATGGTCTCGACTGATGTATCACTGAGCAAAGAAAAAGCGTATTATTCATTCATCTAACAACATTTGTTTTGTTTTAGGTCTAACACAATTAGTGTTGTGTTAGATGGACTAGAGATAACTCTCCCTGGATGGAATTATGTGCAATATACTGTATGGTGTCATGTGCACACACCAACATAATACAATAACAACATCACTAGTACTGTTATCCCCATACTGTAGTTAGTGATGGACAACAACACCATCATTGACCAGATTTCAAAATACTATAAGACTTTCTATGTAAGGAAATTACACATCATACAGTGTTTGTGGTGAAGAAATATGAAGATAAACATTCAAAGCTTTATTCGAAAACCTCAACAAAAGCTACTTATGTGAAATAAATAACATCTTATGCTAGATTTGCACATTACACAACCGACTTTTGCATTACCCTCATTCATACTAAACCAAAGTCTTTTTATATGCATTTAAGGATTTGCATCTAAAAGTAACTATGTGTGTTGTAGTTAATTTCCTTTTGTTCTGCTCATAGCAGACCCATATCCGAACTCCCCTTCACTTTGATCTTGACTACACATCTGGAACGTTTTGTGACTAATGAAGTCACAAAACGTTCCAGATGTGTAGTCAAGATGCTTTCACCGTTGTGACGCTTTTGCATTGACAAAATCGCATAACTAAAACCTTATCTGTACTTTAGTTCTTGTTACAACGAATGTTTCGAGTGTTATTTTTTCATGATGACACACACAGACTCACAGGCTGAAACCAAGAGTGTTACTGTACAGTATGCACCTTACTCTGTCTAGCCCTTTTCCTCATTTTAGGTTGAACATTTTAAACAGAAAGCAATAGTAAGTCTTATGGATATTTTACAGAGGAAGCTTACAGTTATACAAACAGACAAACATATACATTCAAGCACATTTACCAGTACAACTTTACAATTCTTTGTAAAGAGTGGAAGTGTGTGTGTGTGTTTAGCTCAGTTGGAAGCATATTCCAGTGACTGATGGCTATAAATCGTAAAGCAGATTATAAACAAAGGCAATCCGTCTCTGTTTTAATGTTTTGTAATGTAATGTTTTTTGTAAAGCACTTTTAATTGCAAGTTGTTGAAACCGCATGTTGCCACTTGAGTAAGTGGTACCAGACAGTAAATATATCCAAAATAAAATGTAACCTTAACCCTGACTATTTTCCTTTAATAATATTTCCTAATTATGAGAAAAACCTGTCTGCTATGGCGGCAGGTTAGCTGAATTTTATCTGCCACAGCCAACATTAACATTGGCAGATGTAAATGTCCTTCCAGGTATCATCTGGCATCCATAAACCCTGTTGGTAACTTTGAATCTGAAAATGCTGTGTTGTCAAATGTGTTTCTTACCTTTTGTTCTGCGTCGTCTGCGGGGAAAACAGCCGCGAAACATTAAACACATGGCTCCTGAAGGCAGCACGGCTCAGAGATGTGTGAGGTTCATGCAGGGATTCACACTGAAGTGAGAAAAAAATGCAGAACACATTTGATGTCAGGATGTTGGTTAGGTGCTGTTTTGAGATAGTGTGGTATTTTAAGGTGTGCACCTGTGTGTTGTGAGAGTGAAAGCATCAGAAGCTTCTCACACTGTATGTAAAGGTGTGCTTTTAGAGCCTACATTGATTTACAAATACAGGAACATTATTATCATTATCAAGACAGTTAAGTTCTGTTTTTCAAATGTCATCTTCAGCATTTGAATTTAACTATCAACACTAAAACAATTACTCAATGATTATCCTCCACAAATTCACGTTTAACTCTATAATACTGCCTATCTCATCACGCCAAGGCACAAATCAACAATACTTTTATAGTTATAGAAGTGAACTTTTCAAAACATCTCACAGTATAGCACATATTACAAGCTGCCTTCAAATACTAAAAATAAACCAAGAAGGTTTCATTTCCTTAGAAAACAGAGAAGGCAGAAGCCAATTCATAAAAGAGCGGTGTGGTTTCTTGCATGTTACATACAATATAATACAAATGGATATACAAAGTACAAGTTTACTTGTTAGTATGCAAACAGATGGTAATATTATTATTCATTGAACCAATGCATCTGAAGTTGTTGATTTGTATGATGTAGTGGCACTAGGGGGAAAAGTCAAGAGGTGACCAAAGTCAGTTGGGTTCATCCTATGGGTTACATACATTTGATTGCAAATGTATATGTCAATTTATTTCAGTCAGAACCAAAGTAGTGTACTGAAACCGTGATTTGCTGTTTTACTTCCGCATGAAGAAACATTATACAAAATAAAGGAAATCATTTGTATTTAAAGACTTATGTGGATGTCTTTTGTTTCTTTTTTCATGTATTGTACATTTATAAGGAAAGATATTCAAAAAGAAGAGGAACTGTTTTGTTGCTTTCTGTCAAACGTAACTTTTTCACTTCAAAATAAACAAATCTTTCCATATTGACACAAGAACTGTCTTGGTCGAGCTGTAGTGCAACTTGGCACACTTTGCACAACATGAGCCAAGTTTCTAAACAGTTGCTGCACACACTTGCATCAGCACCAGAGTTAATAGATGTGAAAGTGAAACTGTACCAGGCTGACACCACAACAACCACATGAGAGCAATCGCATTTTATAAAGTGCAGCCTTTATGGGAAATAAGATGTTTACAGTATGGCTGAGGGAAGGTTTAGTTCTACCTACATGAATACAGTATGAGCTTCCTCGGATTCATACATACAGCAAACAGAAAAGTCTAACACCAGCAGTGAAAGTGGTCGTCTGCAGACATAAGAACCTGAGAAACATCCAGAACAACCCAAGACTTTTCTTTCAGGCATAATTTCTGGAGATGTTGACTTGAGAAATGTGTTTCTAAAGAGTTTTGTCTCGCTGCCCACGATGAAGTGTTCAGATGTTTCCTTCAGAGCAGGACACTGATGGGAAAACTTTGTTTCTTCTCCACTGTTGAAGACTGTTCTGAGTTTCTGAGTGAGACTCTGATGGAGGAAGCCTTGTCTGAGTGGAGCATTATTCAAATGTAAAAACTACATTTCAACTTAAAGGGGACCTATCATGCAAAATGCACTTTTTGATGTCTTTTATACATAAATATGTGTCCCCGGTGTGTCGGGGAACTCACGCAGCATCAGAAAATAAAACCCTTTCTCTTTTCCTCCGTACCCAAATCTTAAAAAATGGTGCTACAACGGAGCTGATCCAGATTTGCGTCCGATATGACGTAATATCGGAAATATAGGCTGGCTTTACACCCACGGCCCTATCAGAAAGTTGCTATCAGAAACAATGCCCGACTGTTTTGGACGTAATATGGTCGGTGCATGTTTACATTAGCATCGCTAACACTCAGAGCTAACCTGTACTGGAGAGCATGTGTGTGAAGAAGCAGGAAATAAAAAGGAACTCACCTTGTGGTATAACCGGCAAGAGAGAAAGCCTTTGAGCTCCATACTGTTTCAGAAATAATCATTGATAATCCATGATATGGCGTTTCATCATCGCAGTATTTAGTTTAGACAGTAGCTGCCGGGTCCCGCATGAGCTCAGCCCCCTCCTCTTTTTTTTTTAAAGCTTTATACCCCAAATCAGCTATTTTGAAACAGGAAGTGAAATAGAGGGATATGAGGCATGGCTAGAATGGGTGATCTGTTTGGTATTTTGAGTAAAACACTTCATAGACATGTTTTTTATATATTTGTATATATCTGAGACCTATGCTATTGCCTAAAAATAGCATAGGTGCACTTTAACCAGTTAAGCCCTGAGCCTGTTTTTCAGGTCTCAGGCCCGAAAATGACATTCCCAGAACAAATGACTATATCTTCACTTCTAAAAGGGGTAAATTAATAATCTTTTTTCTCAAAGCAATGATAAACCTGTGGGTTGGATGTAGAAAAGTCAGAATCAATATAGATGTTTTTTTGTTTTAAAGTAAATTCAGATTGAACATAAACAATGTAAATTATAGTGTAGTAAAAAAACATTACTTATAGTGAAAACCACCCTTGAATGATGGAATAGTAGACTAAAAGCTTTAGGAATCCAAACTATGACATATAATAAGTACCCTGTATCAAGATTGATGCAAAGCAAGTGACATTTGACCTTTTTAGAGAGATTTAGCAAAAATAAAACACTTCTGGGGTCATTTGGGTGCATTTTCCATATCTCTGGCCCCCCTCGTTCGATTTTGATGATTGACATCTTCCCCTACTTCGAGGGGAAGTTCCTAAAATCCATCTAAACATTACCCATTGGTGAATAGAGTGATGCGTAGCCAGAATGCCCCGGAACCGGAAGCTGCGATACACTCTGGTGGCCTTCGTAGCAGCTAATAGGAAAACTCCGTTATTGACATAAAAATGGAATGATGGATTATCAGTAATCATTTCAAAGTGACACAGACACATTGGATTAACTATTGGATTAACCTAATCTTGTATGTGCAGTTACGATAAGTAATAAGGGTATTTTTTACCGTGAGTTCTGTGCTAAGTGCGTAGCATTTTTTCGCTCAGGGCTCAATTAGACGCTTCTTGTGAGACTTGTGTTTTGTTTCTGTAAAAATGGTTCGTATCGTCAGGTAGCTGAGTTCCTTCCCGTTAAGTGGGTATGACACATTAATAGGTTTTTAAATGTTAAGAAGCCCTGAGACACAGTTTCGTGAAAAAAAAAACCTGCAGGCCCCGGTACCGGGGGCTCTCGGGCTTAAACGTTTCCAGAGGTGGAAAAGGATAAATGTATTGACGTGTATTTCCATTTTAAATGTACAGGTTTAATAAGTGTTGAGTGAAAAATAAACTTGATTACAATTTTAAGTGGAAATGTAGTTTTCACATTTGAATAATGCTCCACTCAGACAAGGCTTCCTCCATCAGAGTCTCACTCAGAAACTCTGAACAGTCTTCATCAGTGGAGAAGAAACAAAGTCTTCCCACCAGTGTCCTGCTCTGAAGGAAACATCTGAACCCTTCATCGCGGGCAGCGAGACAAAACTCTTTAGAAACACATTTCTCAAGTCAACAAATAAATGATCCCTGAAAGAAAAGTCTTGGTTTGTTCTGGATGTTTCTCAGGGTCTTATATCTGGAGACGACCACTTTCACTGCTGGTGAACTCCTGAGGGTCACAGAGACACTCCTACTACAATCAGGAGAAAAGGGTGGCACGTTCCTGCTAAATTTGACATGTACTGATGGATAAACTGATTTTCATATATGTGTGTCCTTAAAAGTACCTTTGATCGTCTTACTGAAAACTCATAAACGTTGAAAAGCTTCCTCATGTCAAACCAAGTTTCTTCACATGTAAATATAGTCGTAAGAGATTCATGGCATTAAACAGGTTTCATATGTTTTATTAAAAAAAGATAAAACATGGTTGATCCATTATAATTTCCTCTGTAATTCATTTTGGTTCCCTTTACACTGACTGGGAAACAATTACAGAAGTATTTCATACAGTATATACATTTATATAATTGTCAGGAATTATGAGAACTTTAGTCAATCAAAACAAAAAAAGTCACAAAAACTGAAAATACATACATATTTACAAAGACAAGAAAGCAGAATTACGATTAAATAAATACATTAAAGGTGCAAAGAAAATCACATTAAGCTCGTTTTCGCATGGGTTCCTGCTTGAGTGATCACACAGGGTCATGTGACATCAGAGATTTGACAGAAAACAAAGGAAAAACTCATATTTTACAAAAGAAAACCCTAATTTTTAAGGTTGAAGGGAGTTTGGAGCGCTTGCACACACTTTAAACGTCTCAAAGACAGTCTGCTGGGTTTTGACAGCGCTTGACACATTCACATATAAAAGGTTTCTTACAGTTTTATCAGTTTTACATTTTAAATCCAAACTAAAGTCAACAATAGGATAATCCCATTGCTGAGAAAACCTCCCCTGAAATCTGCTTTTTATTTATCAAATCTGCAGCTTCTCACAAAGTTTCACAATCTTTAATTAATTCATCCGGTCCAGTTGGCTAAATGTTTGTTCCTTAGAAATGTATCCTGCAGTTCCTCACGATACTGGATACACTCTTACTGTGTAATGGAGTTCATGCGTCACATTTATTGACTTATTTTAGTGGAAACATATGTGTTCTCTACATTTGGCTGTGAGTTGGAGGAGACATCCAATTGCTCACTCCTTTGTCAGGCTGCATTTTTTATGTTAATCTGTATAGTGGACTTATTTTCTTGATTGATTTTTAACTTCATGTCAACTTAAAGGTCACCTATTATGCAAAATCCACTTTTTCCTCTCTTTTATACATAAACATGTGTCCCCTCTGTGTAAAGA